TTCTCTATCCTTTGTTTCTCCTTCTTGTCTGTTCCTGCTCTTACCCCTTGTTTCTCACTAACATACACACATACAACACTATATGAAAACATTGTAATTCATGAACTGACCTGGATAAGTCCCATGCAACAGAACTGGAGGAGGTTTTTATCCAGAAGCCCGCCATCAAAGAATCCATTGTCTCTAAGGTCTGCAAACAAGCATAACCAAAACTCTACGCACTGGTTGCGAAGAAATCCCCACCAATATTCAATTCTTTGATTGGCAATGCTGGCTCCCTCCAGGTAACTGTCAAGGGTATTGTCTGGCTGAGTAGGGAGTTGTGGCATTGTTTACGTAAACAGATAGATCAGTACATGCACACACAGTGTAGTATGGAATGTCTAACAGCTGTAAATAAAAAGAAAATACAAGTGACCATGCAATATGAAAAACCAAACATCACTCTGACAAAGCAAGAAAAAAGAAAGAAAAAACCCTCCCACCCCCTGGCTGAAGCGCCCTGCCAACCAAGAAATACCAGAGACATTCAGATTGCTCCACAGCAACATCTAAGACAAGTGCCCCTAAGAGTTCGTGATATAAGAAAAATATGAAGACAACACAGTAATAACATTTACCCCTTTAAAGTGGCTCATATAGATATAGTCCCAAAGGCAAATAGAAATGAGAAAAAGGGAACAGCATAACAATCAAGAACAGTGAGATAACCAATTGGCCTACCATGCGGCCAGCATCATTCTCAGACTGTAGCACCGGAGGAGACCACAGAGTCCATTGCAGTGGCCGGGACAAAATTGCGCGTTGGTTTTCAATACCGCCCATTATGATGTTACCACCTTCCAGTATTATATCAGTGCCTGATGGTTGGGGGTGCAGGGCATTTGGGCCCGGCTGCTTGCTGTTGTCGGGTATAACTGTCAATACCCCAACAGGAACCTGTGTATGATCTGCAGTGACATCTGATTCCTGCAAACATAGAGGAGGGTTGAGACAATAAGGTGAAAATTTCCAACGCAAAAAGCGTCACTTGATAAATCCCTGCTATATAATAGCTGCAATACTTACAAAACACACTTTGAAGAAATCGCTGCCATCATCGCCGAGAAGAACTGAAAGACAGTGCAGGACAGCCGTCTGAACTGCTATGACATCAGAGGCCTAACATTAAGGAGAAGCAGTTACTTAACACTTAGAAGTCTATGGTATTTTACTAGTTTTGTTTTTTCCTTGACATTTCAACATAAAAACTTGCAAAAACTTTCCATGCCAGTGTCTGGTTATCATTTTTTTCAGCACAACCTCAGATATGTGAATTTGCCGTAATTATTAATAATTAAGTCTAATTTTGACATACTGTATCAACACATTGGACCCATACAACACAAGCAAAATAAAGTCAGAATAGTAAAAAGGTGTATTTTTCATGGTGAAAACCACAAACACGTTCAATAAACATGATTTAGTAGGTTAGTGTCATGCCCCGCTCCGTCCGAACCTAATGTGTGCCACGGCCCCTCGTTAACCTCATGTGGAATCCCAGTGTTTTACAGCTGTTTCGGATTGTTGTCATTAGTTCAGTGTATTTAGTCCGC